TTCTTCAAAGCGTTTATCGCACATTATTCACTGACTGATTCATCCGATCATAAAGGAAGATCGTACTGCCTAGCAGTCTGACAACTCTGAAATTCTCCTCAGCTGTCACTACCTAAAAAGACTTTAAGTAGAAATCGTGTAGAACTAGTTTATCCTGAAAGCTCATCTGCCCAAACAAACCTGCTTTAAGGTTTGAATGTTTGTAGTCAAGAACTGCGTTACGCATATCGTGTCCGGATTGGAAAACTAAGCTTCTTGTAGAAAAAAACAGCTCATATATTCCATTTGTGCCATCAAATAAACTTTCAGTTTAACTTATTTCCTGAGCCACCCCCGGATTAGAAGATTTCTAACAGGAAAGAGTATAAGATGACTTGAAAAAGGTATTTGGTTCGGTGATGCAATTAAGTCATTAGGAGGCCATTACTCAAACTTTATTTTAAATATTTCTCAGAGCACTTTATCTGTACTAAGTGAAAGAATTTTACGACAGTTTCCTCCAACAATTGTACATGGGTTTCTTTGTTTTCGCTTAACATAACGCAACATGTACAAGCAATCTATGACTGCAAAATAAACTATCACATTAATAAACAAATTTTAGCTTTCTTCTCAACAATCTTTTATACATAATAAGAAACATGTTCAAAACAAATATTTTTTTAGGAAGTAATTTCCGAAGCGACATTGGAAGTGCGGCAAATCACTAATAGACAGAGCACTTTTTCTGTGGGAGGGGGAAGGAGATGAACAATCACACCAACTACAAAACTAACGTCAGAAAAAATCTGCAGCAGTTGGTCGGCTTCGTTTTGTTGAAGTAGATTCACCAAAATTCAAAAGATTATCAGTTATTGATGAATTTTCCTTCACAGAAAAGTCAGTTAATTCATTTTTCCTCTTTGAATGAAGGTGTTGCGCACTTTTAACAAGAGAACGGTCCGGTGTTGGAGTGGCAAGTACAGTGCTTGGTCTAAAAAAGGTTGTGTTCAAGATATGCTTTATAGAATGGTTGCACTCTTGCGTACAATTGCTAACACAACCAGTCTGACCTCTCTTACGGCTAACAACTTATAACAAAAACAAATTTAATAAATAAACTTAAAATAAAGTTTACCTTCTTGGGGAAGGAGTATATCTGACCTCCATTGACTTATCGGTTCCAAGCCGAATTCCCAAACCTTTAGTAGCCAGCCTCCTTGCAGCCGGCGACATAAGAAGTAATTTATCTGAGCTTCGGACAGAACCAAACGAAGGCGTTTTTCTGAAACAACCATGGTTAAAGGTAGAAAAGCATGAATATCAACATATAATTTCCTCAGATATAAATCGAGTAATTTTTTAAAATACGAGTGGAGTTTTTCGGCCTGACGAATTGCTGCTTTTTTTTTGTCACGATATCTCTGCGCTATTTTTTCAGTGATACCCTGCGCGATTTGTTCTCTTATAGGTACGTCCGGTATCTAAATGGAAAAACTTGGTAAGCAATTTCAAATGACATTATTAAACCGAAGAAAAATAGTTATCAAAGATTACTTTGAAGGCAGGAGCGTTGTCAAGGCTAGGCGTCATATCAGAAGCATCGAGGCGGAAAGGAGTGCCTTCAATCTCACCCCAAGTCATAAACGGTGAATCTTCAACTCCTTAAAAATGGAAAAAGTAAAAGAAGAATTTAAGCAAATGAGGTATAGAGAAACAAAGAAATATTTAACGAAAAATAGCAAGTAGAGAGGATCATAATAACAAAGAAGAGTGCAAAAAGAAGACGCAGTGGCAAACCAGGAGCTGGCGAGGGGGTGCTGACCAAATCAAAAGCAGCTGGTTTCTTAACACTCACTTCGCGTCCAGTAATATCCACTTTCTCAATTTGCGCTCCTAATAACACACCTCCTGGACGTGACAGTGAAAGCTAAAGATGAAATTAAAAGTGTGAAAATATTGATTTTTTTTGGAGCAATTAAATGACTGAATGAAAAAAACTTTACTTGATGACTCTCGGCAATAATACTTTCAGGTAAGCGAGTTGCTTCCTTATTTATTACTTTCTGATTCATCTTCTGCCTCTGAATGTGTTCTTCAACTGTCAGCGGTGCTTCATCAATATTAAAAAGTACAGAATTCCTAGCTTTGTAAGACCAGTTGTCCAGATCTTTTGGCTTTTCTAAAGAAGGCTACGACTACGTTATACATCATTTATGAATTAAAGACAAAACAAAACTGGGCAATTAATGAAAAAAAAAGACATATAATATTGACAAAAAATAAATAAATCAACTAATGAGTTGGTAATAAATAAAAGTTCCTAAACAGAATGAAGAATGCCAACCTTCTGCAGCTGACGGTGCAGCTTTAAGCATGAGCTGCTCATCAGCAGCTAGAATCATTTCTTTTCCTTTGTAAACTAACTCTTTGTTATGCTTTTCCTCTGCCTCATACATCCAAGCATTTCTTAATCTTTCTTTCTTATTGTGAAGCGCAGCAAGCTCCTCAAATGAAGCGTTATCTTCGCTAGTAAATTTCCTCAGGTAAGAATCGACTGTATGATTAGCTTCCTTATCTTTGCTCTGAAATCCAACAACTAGTAGCTGGCCCATAAAAGTACAAATACAGATCATTCTTTAATCAGTACAGTGTAAGCATCCTCCACAAAAAAAAAAAAAAAAAAAAAAAAAAAAAAAA